TAAAATTACACAATGGTCAAATGTAAATTTATTATATATTTATACTTTTTTTTCCCGGAAATACTCAAGAATCTAAGTCCCTACTATTGTAGTTCGAATCTACGACCACCACCCATTTAGTTGACATATTTATGCATATTAAATAATATAGATTATACTTATTATTTTACAATGACATGCCAAACAATTTATTTTTCTAATTCTTTTTGGATGGCGATGGAAACCCTCATCCATTATTCTAGTGAAACTTGATTTCTCTGTAGTAGTTCACAACTCACATATGAGAGATAAATCACAGTAGAAAGATCATATGCAACAAACTCTACCAAAAGCATGTTAGCAATAATTAAACTTGTGACCTTTAAACATGAAAATCATGTTTCACTCACTCAATCATTCTTTCGGTCACATTAAATGAATTGAAGCTTTAAATAAAAACTGCTAAAGTGAAGTTGAAACTAGATTATGTTAATATGGCATGGATTTCTTTTGTTGGTTATAGATTCTTATTTGAAATTGTATTCTTTCCCCACCCACCCCAACCCCTTTATGTTTATGCATAGAGAGAAGCAACACATATGGCTCTGTTTGGCAACGCTAAGCTAGGAACTTATATAGCTTATTTTAAGCTACTAATAAGCTATAAGCTCTGTTTGGTAATGTTTTCAAAATAAGCTCCTAGCTTAAAATAAGAGCTTATTTTGGAACGTTACTTTAGGTAGCGTTTCAAAATAAGCTACTAGCTTCCTCAACTTTTTTTCCATTTTTACCCTTATTATTTTAAAGTAATGACATATTTTAACCTTATGAATTAAAACCCTTTCTCTTCCCATATCCCAACTTTCACGTCAATTCCTTCCTTAGTCTTGTTTCCTGCTAAACAATTATGTTTGAAACTTTAGCTTATTATTATTATTATTATTATTATTATTATTATTATTATTATTATTATTAATGTTATTTTAAAATTAGTAATATGGCTTTAATCTCAAATTGAACAAGAGCCGCCAACTAATATGATGTTTAATGTGCTTGAGCAGCATCCAGATTACATACCGCCCGATGAACTTCAAGATTCAAGTAGTAATATCTCCATCAACGAAAATTTAAGTCACACCTCTATGGAAATCCGCCAGTAGTGCTTGATCATGCTAATAGTTTTATTTTTAAAAGTGTTTACTTTTTTTTGGAAGACGAAATGTTAAATTTTAATATGTAAACAAACTAATTTAAATTTTATGAAGATGTCCTTTTTAGTCTTTTTACATTTATCAGCTTATCAAAAAGCTAATTTTACCAAACACTTTCAATCATAACAGCTAGCTTAACAGCTCTTCAATTTTCAGCTCCGAGCTTATAGCTTTTCAGTTTTCAGCTCCTTTTCAGCTATAAGCTCCTAGCTTGTAACTTTTCAGCTAGGTTTGCCAAACAGAGCCTAACATTAAAAGTAATTATAAAAATGGAAGAAAATAAATACATTTATAATTTATAAGAAAAATTTACAACATTGATAAACATAAATACTTATTTTATTGCGTATAATTTAAAAAGTTTTAGAGGTTATATCGAATGAAATGGAGATATTGTGAATACAGTCGAGATTCGAATCTATGACCATTTATTTGAAATGATAACCGAAATGTCATCACACTACATGATAATTGACTTAAAATAAAGAATTGAATTTATATCATTCACACAATTAAAATAAAATAAATACATGGCATTTTTCCTAATTTTAGTGGTATGTATTTTCAAACTTGAAATCTCCCGCCACTATACATTTGAACTAATTAAAGATAAGTCCTAAAAATGACTTTTATTTTTTGAATATTAATTATTTAAGTTATTTGATCCAAAGTCAAAGCATCCAAACTTGATAGTATATTTCTACAATTATAGTATCGCGCATAGCTCAACTGGTCAATCAACATAAAATAAGTTGAAAAGTTTTTATTTTTTATTTTTTATTTTTTATTTTTTTATTTTTTATTTTTTTTATCCACTAGTCTCCAAGGCAAAAGCAGCATATCCATTAATTTATCTCATCCATCAATTTTCCGAACGGAAACAACACATCCCGCAATTTGTCTCATCCACCCGTCTCTACGGTAGGTGCTAATCTTTAAGTTTGGAATTCAAACGCATTATTCATACCATTATAGAGCGAGAGTTTACGATACAATGTTTTAAAACAATTCAATGTCATTTTATTTTATTAATTGATAATGAGATTAATTAGTTTACAAAGACTCAATTATTAATTATAATATATTTTTATATTTTATCATAAACTACATGATTGGATACAAATAAAAGTTTATTATCTAAGTTTGATGGCATTGATTAGGTGACCAAACTTAAAAACCAATTAAGAGGTCCAAACCACAATATTCCAACACATGGGTTGACTCGGGGGACTAACTTGAGGAACAAAGATCAATAGAGGCTAGGTCAATATGGGTATTTAGGTCACAAACCTCTCATTCGTGGTATTTAGACAATAAGATATAATATGGAGAAAATTTTTTAAAGCATTATTTTCGATCCCTCAAACTTTATCACATCACATTATATACTACGAAGTATATATATATATATTTTTTATATTTTTTGTATGATACAACTCAATATCTGTTCAATATAATATTATACTAGTTCCACACTCTTACTTGGTACTGGAGCATTATCAATGGTCTTTTTTCTTTTTCTTTTTGAAGTTTTTGCCAGAAAGAAATAGGCCAATCAAGAAAGAATGACAAATAAAAAAAAAAAAACTAAAATTTGAGAGTGGTTGTCAATTTGTGACCATTTAGATACACGACGCATACACAACATACGTCCAGTAAGCACACAATTTTATTTTTTTTTTTAAATCTATATTTTGTAGTAAATTAGTAAATAATTTTTTCTCTATAATATTTCATCCACCTAAAAAAAGCTAAGCAAACACTCACCAAAGATCCACCACACATCATTAATACAAAGCCATTTTTTATTTGGGAGTGACAAATGTGACAACATGTACATCATCTAACATAAAATATCAATTGAACGTCAGCTTTGAACATATTTAAATCAATTCATTGTCTATTTAACAAATAAAAAAACATATAATTCTTTTTTCAACTTATTTTATTTACAACATGTACATCATCTACCATGAAATAAATATTGAATGTAAGCTTTTAACATATTCAAGTCAATTTAATATTATTCATTGTCAATTTAGACAAATTAAAAAAACGTACCCCGGTATTATTCTTTGTTCAACTTATTTTATTTATATTATTTAAAAACACTTATTTTATTTATATAAAAATTACTTAACACCAAATTTATAGGGGTGTACCATATTATGGTCTTTTGCTGGTTATAGTTACAAGGCGAACTTCACCCGTGGTGCACTTTTGAGTAACAGATATGAATTTTTTTGTAAATCAAAATGTAATTTATTAACTTTTTTTCGAATAAGAGTCAAATAGTGTACGCATAACTTGAACTAAATCTAAACTAGGCAACAAAACTTATAATAGATGGGCAATTTATATCGTGGAACAGGGTTCACATAGCATTGTGGACCCTGGATCAAAACGACGTCGTTTGATTTTAAGTTTTAACTGATTCTGTAACTTCCCGTTTCTCATGTTTCAACACAAAATTTTAATTTATTCTATGTACAGAATCGTTACGCTTAATGTACAGAATTGCATAACATGTCATACAGAAACGCATAACACGATATACATACACATATTTTATATTTTACTATGAGATACATACACATGTTTTATATTTTATTTACTCTCAGGTAATACTTTATGTCTTATAGACACATAATTTCATAATACAAGATATAAATTCGTAAAATAAGACAAATAATATGTTTTGTATTATACAATTACTAATCAATTTCAAGTACAAAATTTTTACGCTTAAGGTACAAAATTTCGTAACATAATGTACAGACATACATAACACGATGCACATAAATATGCTTTACAGTAAGAAAAAAACTCTATAACGCAAACTGAAAAACAAATGTATCTGTTAATTAAAGTTCAAAACGACGTCGTATAAGATCAAGTACACGGTATAACGATTGTAGTAGATTGGGTCGCAAATTATGTTGTGCAACCGAATGCACCTTGCAAGGTGCATACGGTTGCAAAACGGCGCCGTTTTGGTTAAAAAAAACGCGCGTTCCACTTAAAGAAGAAATCGGTTCGATTCCCGGCAATAGCATTTTTATATATCCAGAAATTCATAACTATATATCCACAAATTCATAACTATATATCCACAGTGAATGAATGAAGTAAAAATCTACAATGAATGAATGAATGAAGTAAAAATCCACAATGAATGAATGAATGAAGTAAAAATCCACAATGAATGAACTAAATATCCACAATGAATGAACTAAATATCCATAAATTCATAACTATATATCCAGAAATTCATAACTATATATCCATAATTCAGAACTATATATCCACAGTGAATGAATGAACTAAATATCCATAAATTCATAATTATATATCCACAAATTTATAACTATATATCCAGAAATTCATAACTATATATCCACAATAATGCTATTGCCGAGAATCGAACCTGAATTTTTTTTTAAGTGGGACGTGCGTTTTTAGTCAAAACAACATCGTTTTGCATCGTATGCACCATGCGCATGATACATTCGGTTGCACAGTATTGAGATTGGGTGATATTGACTAGAAGTTGGGCTTGACCTTGGGCTTCAAACAAAATAAACAACCAGAGACCCAAACCTACCAGACAAAAACACCCCAAGAAGACAAAAAAGGACACCTCGATTTCCCCTCCCCGTTGACCCTACTTACCACTTTCGTTAAAACCCCCAGACCTATATCCGTCTTTTCATCCAACAGTCACGTGTACTCCTACGTGGATATTTTAACCTGCCACGTCGATCCAAATTTCGATTTTCTCTCTCCCCTCCCCCCATTTTCAAACCCTCTCTCTCTCTACAAAAGAAAAGAACACTGGTCTCCTCTCCCTCTCTCTCTCTTCTTTGCAGTCTTTTTAATTCGCAGGTAAATCTACAATACAAAATTTATATACTCCGGCGCGGCGTTTTCTCTCTCTCTCTCTCTCTAGGAAATCTGTTTCTCTCTCTCTCTCTATATATATCTCTCTCTATATATCTATATATATATTGCAGTGTGAATAGATATAGTTGATTTGGGGGTGGGGGGGATTGAGATGAATCGAATGTGATGGGAGGAGGGTTTTCGCATCTGTTTCCGTGTGTTAACCCGGCGGTGAACCGGGATGAGCCGGAGGTTGTGTTCACCGGCAGCGAGCCACTGGACGAGACACTCGGCCACTCATTCTGCTACGTTCGGTCTTCAGCTCGGTTTGTGTCTCCTCCCCACTCCGATCGGTTTGTTTCGCCTTCGCAGTCGCTCCGGTTCGACGAACCATCTCAGCAGAAGCTCAGACCGGGGGGCGGTCCAATGGAGACCGGTTTCCGGGCCATTTCCGGTGCGTCGGTGAGTGCCAACACCTCCACTCCCAGAACTGTGCTTCAGGTTGATAATTTTTACGACGACGCCACTGGAACTGATGGCGCTACTACTGGAGTGAGGGGTAGCGTTGTCAATGGGTTTGAGAGTACGTCGTCGTTTTGCGCCTTGCCTCTTCAGCCTATTCCTCGCGGTGGCAGCGGCGGAGAGCGGTCGTGCCCGATGGAGAGGGCGTTCTTCATGTCCGGTCCGATCGAGCGAGGAGCCCTATCTGGGCCGCTGGAGCCGCCCACCGGGTCGGATGCCGGTGCGAATAATGTCCCATTCTCGGCGCCGCTGGGAAGTGTTTATGTCAAAAAAAAGAGGAGGAGAGGCATTTCGGGAATTCGAAAGGCCTTGTACAGAAACTTCCCGGAGAAGAAGAGGCCGTGGGTTTTACCGGTTAGGAGCTTCGGTGGCCGCAAGGACGATCCACCTCCATCAAATTGTGGGCGTGAGTCGGAAATGAGCTGTGATAGCAATATTCAGTGGGCTTTAGGGAAAGCCGGTGAAGATCGAGTACATGTGGTTGTATCGGAAGAGCTTGGATGGTTATTTGTAGGTATTTATGATGGATTCAATGGGCCAGATGCCCCTGAATTCCTTATGAGTAATCTGTACAAAGCAATGTACAAAAAACTAGAGGGTTTGTTTTGGGATAGTGAAGAGACTAGTAGGCAGGAAGAAGTAGGTGCAGGTTTAGAAAATGATGTGATTCCAGAGAATTCAGACATCCTAAATACAAACTCATCACTTGAACCTACAGGTGAGGTTGTTAGGGAAGTTGAAGGTGTAAATGGTGTTAACTTTCAGCAGCTTGATAAAGGATCCACAAAGAAGGTGACATTTCGATCGGGTGAGATTGAGGTTAGGAGGAGAAGATTATGGGAGTTTTTGGCAGAGGAGGACCCTGAAGATGGTCTTGATCTCTCGGGTTCAGACAGATTTGCATTTTCAGTAGAGGATGCATTAAGTGTAAACAATGCAGGTTCTGCAGTGAGAAGATCACTGCTGTTGTCAAAATTGAAACAAGGGTTGTTGATTAAACACAGGGAGAGTAAAAAATTGTTTCCATGGAGATTTGGGTTGAAGGGCAAGGAGAAAGTTGGGGTGGAGGAGAATAGAGTTGAAGAGGAAAGGAGTATTGGAAACGGGAGGAGACGCAAAGTGGGTCCAGTGGACCATGAGTTAGTTTTGAGAGCAATGTCAGGGGCTCTTGAAATAACTGAGCTTGCCTACTTGGATATGACGGATAAGCTTCTTGATCGGTATCCAGAGCTTGCGCTGATGGGTTCGTGTTTGTTGGTTGCTTTGATGAGAGATGAAGATGTGTATGTGATGAATGTGGGAGATAGTCGGGCTATAGTAGCAAAGTATGAGCCTGAAGAGGTTACTTCTAGTTCAAATTCAAGGGTACTGGGTAATGATGGGTTGGCTGTGGAAGGTAAAGCTGAAGAGTCAAAAGGTAGCATTCTGGCGGAGGATAAGGCTACAAATGTGGTTCCTGTTCAAGATATGAGGTTGGCCTCATTGCAATTGTCAACTGATCATAGCACAAGCATTGAAGAAGTAAGTTCCTCTTTCCTTCAGTTGGGTTCATTTGGTGTTTTCAGTCCTTTTTTAGCTCTTTAATTACTTCATTTGAAGGTTTCATAATTTGTTCCTTTCCTTTGGACTATGAAATGGAGCCTGATAGTAATTACTTCAGGTCACCTAGATGGCACCCTTGTGGTGTCTTACTGTCTTATTAACCCCAACTGCACACATTAACACTAAATGCTTGGACATTTATGAAGGCTCATTTACCTTCCTTTGATTGACCATCAAAACCATTTGCTAAAGTCGGATAAAAGAAGTATTAAATAGTGATTTCCTGTGGAAATTCCCCTTTAAACATCACTGCTAAAATTTGAAATTGTGGAACACATTGCTGCAGTTAGTTCTGATGTTCTCTTAGCTTTAACTTCAAATATTGAAAAGATACTTGATCAACAACTCTGTGTAAACATCTTCAGATATTCAACGTAGCTGCCTTTGTTCTAATGCGAAAGTTCTGGGCTTGATGAGAAAAAGTCACTGCTTTTATTCTAACTAATTTTATCAAGGCTCTGGATGGTGGAGTTTTAACCAAGGAACTAGGCAATAGTCTTGTGTGCCAAAGTTGTCTGGTGGGCATATGTTATGGTGTTAAATGGTTTAATATCTGCCTTGTGTAGTATCCTATACGGCTATACCCCTATCATTCCATACCTCAACTACTTTGCTGCCTCAGTGATCTCAGTGTGTGGAACCCACTGAGAAAGCTAGTTGTGGCTTATCACATATATAGGAATGTTAACCCAGAGAGCCTCCTTTGATCTTCAAAGACCTGCCAATTTAGCAAATTAGCATATGATCACATGCTGTTTTATTAGGCACGGATTCTGCAAAGGAAATTCTTTATCCTCATTTTCATAGAATTGTAGAAATTCTAGCTTCAGATTCTACTAACATGTTCAAGGAAAATGCTTGTCATTTTTGCTAGTCTACTAGTCTAGCAATGCGAAATTTTCATTATCTTGATATTGTCCATGCGTAGTTTGAGTTATGGCTGTAATCCTTTATTTGTTTCTTTTGATAAGTTATTTCATACTAAAAAAAAAAAAAGATGAACTGAGACACTGCAAATAGAGCTACTCCATATTAACTTTTTAATTGTTGCATATAAATTATGAAAATGCGCATTGATATCTTCAATACAGTGACATGAGCTTAAAATGCCAGTCAAACTTTGATTACTGTTGAGGATATTTCTGGACTGTCCAGTTGCCTCCGTTTTTTTGTGGCTTGGTGAAGGAGATTTCTTGTGAATGTCATTGATATTTCTTGGTTTACTTTTTTGAAATTAAAGTGTGATACATGTATTACATTATGGTGTTATTACAAATTGTTTAAGAATAATTGTTAATTTTAGCTGTATTATTTGCATCTTATGCTTGGTCATTGTTTTTTCATATTCTAAATTCCTTTCCTCTAACCTTCCACAGGAGGTTATCAGAATCAAGAATGAGCATCCTGATGACAGTAACTGTATTGTCAATGATAGAGTCAAAGGTCGCCTAAAGGTCACCCGTGCATTTGGGGCAGGCTTCCTGAAACAGGTTTGTTATTTACTTTCTAGGATTTGTGTCAGAGAAAAAACCGTTACAAACCCCTCTTTCAGGAAAGAGTTGGCAAAACTGCTTTATGAGACTAAGCGCATTTCAATATGTTACAATATTATACTCCTTGTGCTGTAATTCAGTAATTTAAATGTTGTATCCCACACTAGCAGGTGCTTGCTCCTCTAGCCTAAAAAATTGAGCTTTCTGCCCGCACATGTGTAACATTGTATTGTGTGTCTAACTTGGTTTTTCACTAGTAAACTTATCTATTATTTGCATCTTTGAGAACTTGTATGAAAGATGATTGCTTATATAACGTTTTGACATCCTTGTTGCAGCGTAAGTTGAATGATGCATTATTGGAAATGTTTCGCAATGAATATATTGGCAACACACCTTATATATCTTGTACGCCTTCTTTACGTCACCATAGACTATGTCCTGGAGATCAATTTTTGGTGCTCTCCTCTGATGGCTTATACCAATACTTGAGCAATGAGGAAGTTGTTTCCCATGTTGCAAATTTTATGGAGAAATTTCCTGATGGAGATCCTGCACAGCACCTGATTGAGGAGCTTTTGCTTCGTGCAGCCAAGAAAGCTGGTAATATTTCACTTGATTTTCTTCAATTTTTGTCTTTATTTGTGTTGAGGATAGCGTTTAGCTTGTTTTGGAATTTTCAACTTTATTAGACTGTTACATCTCATTAGTTGTTTAGAGGATTTTATAGCTGCTAGACAATAGTACACAAACACTTGCACATACAATTTATGGTATTTTATTTTTAGAAAAAAAGTCGGATAGTTTCTTTCCAGTGGCTTTGCCTTCCCTGTGGAGGGAAATCTGAAACCTGTGTCCATAGTATAATGCCATCAATTTCATGCTCTTATCAGTTTTTTTTCAGAATCATGTATCAGCAGTTGTGCACTTTACTGCTGTTTGCAGTTGTCATGACTTAGTGAGAACATAGCTTTGGTTTGGTTGATGCACTTTATTAGGACCTTTTCTTAATTAATTGACAATTGTGTCTAAACAAAGTCACTTCAATTCTACTGTTCTTTTTTCAACTTTTGTGTATCATGCTTGTTTCATTGAACAATGGGTTTTATTTCCCCAATCATTTTATAAAGGGTATACTGTTATCTGTGTGGAGATGAATAGGTTTAACCATAAAAAACATAAAAGTTTCATGGTTATTTGATACTGGGGACCATTTAGCATTCCACGGATGGACATTAAATTTTTAACTCAAAACCTGCTGGATTTATTGTGTCTGCAGGAATGGATTTACATGAATTGCTCGACATTCCAACAGGGGACCGAAGGAAGTACCATGACGATGTCACTGTTATGGTAATATCACTCGAAGGAAGAATTTGGAAATCATCGGGAAAATACCTTTGAACTCCTCCAACAGCACAAATCTCTGCAGCAATTGATTTGCTCCTTGCAAGCTGAACCTGCTGCAGTTTGAGGTTTCTGGGAACATTATATGAAATTCGATAACGATCTGGCTTCATGTCTCAACAAGGACTGTTTTAAAGTCCCGCCTTGAGCAAAGCACCTTTGTGGGGAAGCCCGTAATGCAGATGGCGAAACAACCGAGGTGCCAGATTGAAATCGACTCATATTGAGAATCGGTTTCTGGATGACGGTATAAATTTTGTAGCTGGGACTATCCTATCCTGGATGTGCTCTTAGACAAGAAAACTGACTCTCCTTTTTCTCTTCTTCCTTTCTAGATTTTGCATAGGCATAGGATCTTTTTTTCATTCATTTGTATTTTGTTCTTTTAATTAGGGCAAGAGAAGTGGTTGTAAGCAAGATTGGGGGGAGGAGGGGGTGTGGCTTAGTTACAGAGCTCTACACTAGACTCCATTTTCACAGGAGAAAGCTATTGAAACCCATGTGTAAAAATTGTTGTTACAACTGGGAAGCAGAAAAAGAAGCACCAATTTCCCAAATGGTCTCTCTGGCATCAACACATACTTGTGCTTTACCCTTTCTGTATACAGAATGCTATATATGGTTCTAAATTCTAATGCAATCATTCCATTAAAATTGTGTTTTTGTTTACAACTTTCAACATATAATAAAAGTGTTTGAGACCCTGCTAGTTGTATTAAATTAGTTTGAAATGCGTCCGGTGGGATTTAACTCAATGGTTTAAAGGTTATTCTGAAAGTTGGATTTAACTCAATGGTTTAAAGGTTATTCTGAAAGTTTTGCTCCAGTGAGACAGGTCAACTATGTATAATTTAGACTGATTTACTTCATCATGGTCGGCTCAAAATACACTTTAACGTATCAATTGCAACCTTATTTATAAATCAAAGATATCATAATTGAAAAAATCGCTAGGCGCTTTTCGAACGTTCGGACAGTGTGTTAGAGTTTGCACAATTTATAGTTATTTTGTTTAAAACGATATCATCGGCTCAAAATACACTTTAACGTACCAATTGCAACCTTATTTATACATCAAAAATATCATAATTGAAAAAATCGCTAGGCGCTCCTCAAACGTTCGGACGGTGTATTAGAGTTCGCACAATTTAGAGTTATTTTGTTTAAAACGATATCATCGGCTCAAAATATACTTTAAAGTATCAATTGCAACCTTATTTATAAGTCAAAGATATCATAATTGAAAAAATCACTAGGCACTCCTCGAACGTTTGGACAGTGTATTAGAGTTCGCACAATTTAAAGTTATTTTATTTAAAACGATATCATTTTAAGTGAAATAACCTATTATAATGACACTGAAAAATGTACATCTCAGTCCGATAAACTTCACCCATATAACCAAGTAAGCTGTCTCGGATTATTACTTTACCCGATGTTATCTCTAGTATGGAGAGATTTTGACCTGAAGTTGGGCTTGACCTTGGGCTTCAAAACAAAAACAGAAAACCAGAGACCCAAACCTACCGGACAAAAACACCCCAAGAAGACAAAAAAGCACACCTCGATTTTCCCTCCCCGTTGACCCTACTTAACACTTTCGCTTCAAAACCCCCCCAGATTCCCAGACCCATAACCGTCTTTTCGTCCGCAGTCACGTGTGTTCCTACGTGGAAATTGTAACCTGCCACGTCACTCCAAAATTTCAATTTTCTCTCTCTCCCCATTTTCAAACTCACTTTCTCTCTCTACAACACTGGTCTCCCCTCTCTCTCTCTTCATTGCAGTCTTTTTTAGTTCGCAGGTAAATCTAAATACAAAATATATATATATATATACTCCGGCGCGGTGCTCTCTCTCTCTAAGAAATCTGTTTCTCTCTCTCTATATATACAAGAATATATACTGCAGTGTGTGTGTGTATATATAGTTGATTTGGGGGGTGGGGGGGATTGAGATGAATCGAATGTGATGGGAGGAGGGTTTTCGCATCTGTTTCCGTGTGTTAACCCGGCGGCGAACCGGGATGAGCCGGAGGTTGTATTCACCGCCGGCGAGCCACTGGACGAGACGCTCGGCCACTCATTCTGCTACGTTCGGTCTTCAGCTCGGTTTGTGTCGCCTCCCCACTCCGATCGGTTTGTTTCGCCTTCGCAGTCGCTCCGGTTCGACGAGCCAGGTCAGCAGAAATCCAGACCGGGCGGCGGTCCAATGGAGACCGGTTTTCGCGCCATTTCCGGTGCGTCGGTGAGTGCCAACACCTCCACTCCCAGAACTGTGCTTCAGGTTGATGATTTTTGCGACGATGCCGCCGGTATTGACGGTAGCGCTTTGGGTTTTAGTGGCGCTACTGGAGTGAGGGGCAGTGTTGTGAATGGGTTTGAGAGTACGTCGTCGTTTTGCGCCTTGCCTCTCCAGCCTATTCCTCGCGGCGGCGGAGAACGGTCGGGTCCGATGGAGAGAGCATTCTTCATGTCAGGACCGATCGAGCGGGGAGCCCTATCTGGGCCGCTGGACGGGCCCACCGGGTCGGACGCCGCCGCTGGAAATAGTGTTCCATTTTCGGCGCCGCTGGGAGGTGTTTATGTCAAAAAGAAGAGGAGGAGGGGCATTTCGGGAATTCGAAAGGCCCTGTACCGGAACTTCCCGGAGAAGAAAAGGCCGTGGGTGTTACCGGTTAGGCATTTCGGTAGCCATAAGGATGCCCCGCCACCTTCAAACTGCGGGCGCGAATCGGAAATGAGCTGTGATAGCAACATTCAATGGGCTTTAGGAAAAGCCGGTGAAGATCGAGTACATGTGGTTGTATCAGAAGAGCATGGATGGCTATTTGTCGGAATTTATGATGGATTCAATGGGCCAGACGCCCCTGAATTCCTTATGAGTAATCTGTACAAAGCAATGTATAAAAAACTAGAGGGTTTGTTTTGGGATAGTGAAGAGACTAGTAGGCAAGAAGAAGTAGGTGAAAGTGTAGAAAATGATGTGATTGCAGAGAATTCAGGCATCCAAAATACAAATTCATCACATGAAGCAACAGATGGGGAGGTTAGGGAAGTTGAAGGTGTAAATGGTGGTAACTTTCAGCAGCTTGATAGAGGATCCACAAAGAAGGTGACATTTTGTTCGGGGGAGATTGAGGTTAGGAGGAGGAGAAGATTATGGGAGTATTTGGCAGAAGACGATCCGGAAGATGGTCTTGATCTTTCAGGTTCAGATAGATTTGCATTTTCTGTAGAGGATGCCTTAAGTGTGAACAATGCAGGTCCTGCAGTGAGAAGATCACTGCTGTTGTCAAAATTGAAACAAGGATTGTTGAGTAAACACAGGGAGAGTAGGAGATTGTTTCCATGGAGATTTGGGTTGAAAGGTAAGGAGAAAGTTGAGGTGGAGGAGAATAGAGTGGAAGAGGAAAGGACTATTGGAAACGGGAGTAGACGCAAAGTGGGTCCAGTAGACCATGAGTTAGTTCTGAGAGCAATGTCAGGGGCTCTTGAAATAACTGAGCTTGCTTACTTGGATATGACGGATAAGCTTCTTGATCGATGTCCAGAGCTTGCGCTGATGGGTTCGTGTTTGTTGGTTGCTTTGATGCGAGATGAAGATGTTTATGTGATGAATGTGGGAGATAGTCGAGCTATAGTAGCAAAGTATGAGCCTGAAGAGGTTACTTCTAGTTCAAATGCAACGGTTCTAGGTAATGATGGGTTAGCTGTGGCCGGTATAGCTGAAGAGTTGAAAGGTTGCATTCAGGTTGATGATAAGGTGTCAAATGTGGTACCTGTTCACGATAGGAGGTTGACTGCATTGCAATTGTCCACTGATCATAGCACAAGCATTGAAGAAGTAAGTTCCTCTTTCCTTCAGTTGGGTTCTGCTGGTGTTTTCAGTCTCTTTGTTGCTATTTAATTACTTCATTTGAAGATTTTCTTATTTGTTCCTTTCCTTTGGAGTATGAAATGGAGCCTTATGGTAACTATTTCTTTGCCCTTATTACTCCTTCAATGGAACATCCAAAACATTTGCTAAATGCGGGATAAAAGAAGTATTAAACTGTGATTTTGTGGAATTTTCCCTTTGAAGATCACTGCTAAAATTTGAAATTGTAGAATGCATTGATTTAGTTCTGATGTTCTCTAAGCGGGTTTCTTTTGAACACATTGTAAATCAGTGTAAATATCTTTAAAATTTGAATGTAGCTGCCTTTGTTCTAAAGCCAAAGTTCAGGGTTTGATGAGAACAGCCCACTGCTTTTATGCTTAACTAATTTAATTGTGGCTCTAGATGGTGAAGTGTTCACCAAGAAGCTGTAAGCTTGACATTTGTTTTGTGCATCTAAATTATCTGGTTTTTTATCCAAAATAACATTTTGGGCATATGTTATGGTATTAAATGGTTTAATATCTGCCTTGTGTAATGTCCTATCATTCCATACCTCAACTAGTTTGCTGCCACAGTGATCGCAATGCGTGGAACTCACAGAGAAATCTGGTTGTGGCTTTTCACAGATATAGGAAAGTTAAACCAGAGAGATTTATTGATCTTTAAAAACCAGCCAATTTAGCATAAGATCAAATGCTGTCTTATTAGTGTACATCATTTTAAGCAGCCATTCTTTATCTTCCTAAGATATTGTGATTTTCATTTTATTTCAAAGAAACTAGCTACAATAGACATGGATTCTGAAAATTAATTATCCTCATTTTCATAGATTTGTAGAAATTCCAGCTTCAGAATCTACTTACATGTTCAAGGAAAATGCTTGTCATTTCTGCTAGTCAATCAATGCTGCATTTTCATTATCTTGATAATGTACATGTGTAGTTTGAGTTATTACTGTAATCCTTTATTCATCTCTTTTGATAAGTTATTTCATTCACAAAAAAGATGTACTGAGCCAGTGCAAACAGAAGAGAACTACTCCATATTAACTTTTCAATAGTTGCATATACATGATGAAAATGTGCATTGATATCTTCAATATAGTACCGACTACGATAAGCTTAAAATGTCAGTCAATCTTCTTCGATTACTGTTGAAGATATTTATCTACTGTCAAGTTGCATCTGTTTTTATGAAGTAAACAGTGCTGCTTTTAAGGAAGGTCTTTGTGTCTGGGTGAGGGAGATTATTTGTGACTTTGTGAATATCATTGATATTTTGTGGTTTTACTTTTCCAAAATTGAGCTTTGATACACGTACTACATTATTGTATGATTACAAATTGTTTGAGAATGATTGTTAATTTTTGTGTGTATTATTTGCATCTCATGCATGGTTATTGCTTATTTGCTTATTCATATTCTAAATTCCTTTCCTCTAACGTTTCTACAGGAAGTTATCAGAATCAAGAATGAGCATCCAGATGACAGTAACTGTATTGTGAATGATAGAGTCAAAGGACGCCTAAAGGTCACCCGTGCATTTGGGGCAGGCTTCCTGAAACAGGTTTGCTATTTACTTTCTAGGTTGAGCTTTGGTTTTTCCCTTGTAAACTTAGCTATTATTTGCATCTTTGAGAACGTTGTGTGATAATTCTTTAGATCCATGTATGAAAGGTGATTGCTTATTTGCTTATATAATGTTTTGGCATTCTTGCTGCAGCGTAAGTTGAATGACGCATTATTGGAAATGTTTCGCAATGAGTATATTGGCAACACGCCTTACATATCTTGTACACCTTCTTTACGTCACCATAGACTCTGTCCTGGAGATCAATTTTTGGTGCTCTCCTCTGATGGCTTATATCAATACTTCAGCAATGAGGAGGTTGTTTCCCATGTTGAGAATTTCATGGAGAAATTTCCCGATGGAGATCCTGCACAGCACCTGATTGAGGAGCTTTTGTTCCGCGCAGCCAAGAAAGCTGGTAATATTTCACTTGTTTCATTGAACAATGGTTTTTATTTCCCCGCTCATTTTATTAGATGTTGCAAATAATTGCATAAAAGGGTACATACACAGTTGTCTATGTGGAGTCGAATTGGTTTAACCATCAAAAAACATAAAATTCCATGGTTATCCTGATACCATTTAGTATTCCGACCAACATAGTTGGCGTGGTGGTTCAGCACCTCGTCCCTTAAGCATGAGGTTGGGGTTCGATCCCCACGGCCAGTCCCCTACCACTTAATGTGCTAACCGTTGGGACGGAGGATTAGTTCTCTGGCTTTCGGCTGGAGGGATACCTTTGGGCAACCAAAAATTTTTTAGTATTCCACGGGTGGAGAAATTAAACTTTTGCACAAAGGAATGCCATGATTCAAGACCTTCTGATTTGAGCTGGGTTTATTGTGTTTGCAGGAATGGATTTACATGAATTGCTCGACATCCCAACAGGAGACCGAAGGAAGTACCATGACGATGTAACTGTTATGGTAATATCACTTGAAGGAAGAATTTGGAAATCATCAGGAAAATACCTTTGAATTCTTCCAACAGAAGAAATCCAATCCCTGCAGGCTGCAGCAATCGCTGCAGGTTGATATTCAGGAATCGGGTCAAAACACAGTGAAATTCAATCGCGATCTGGTTTCACATCTCAACAAGGATTGTTTTAAGTCCTACCCTTGAGCAAGCTAAAGCATGCAATGCCAGACTGAAACCAAGGCTTATTGAGAACCGGTTTTTGGATGAGGGTATAAATTTTGTAGCTGGGACTATCCTATCCTGGATGTGCTCTTAGACAAGAAAACTGACTCTTCTTTTCCTCTTCCTTTCTAGATTTTCCATAGGCATAGCATCTTTTTTTCATTCATTTGTATTTTGTTCTTTTCCTCTTTTGCTTAGGGCAAGAGAAGTGCTTGTAATCAGATTGGGGGGTGATGGGGTTTGGCTTAGTTACAGTCTTACAGAGCTCTATACTAGACTCCATTTTCAGAGGAGAAAAAACTATTGAAACCCATTGTAAAAATTCTTGTTACAACTGGGAGAGTGAAAAGAAGCACCAATTTTCTGAAATTTCTTATAAAGTTTAGACTTACATATATATATTCAGAATGAAATAAGCATATAGTGGTGGGAATACCAGATACTGTTACACTGATGCTATTGCAGCATCCAAAGAGTGTGCCTTTGATTGAATCCAAGACACTAAATCTTCTTGAGTCGCAACGAAAAATCCAGCTTTCTCTTCACTCTCCTTGAAAGGGGCTTCGAACTTTTCCAGGTGCGAAGCGAATGAATTAGCCAAGCCTTGGGAGAACCTGTGGGTTCCTGCGCCAGTGTAAGCTGTGAAGAGTTGAGGCAATGGCTCCTGGCGCTGCACGATTTTGGCGAGAGTCGCCATCCATTCCTCGAATGCAGTTCGAGCGGCACCCACCGAGAGTGACCGGACGTTCAAACGCCACTCCTGGGACGTCTTGCTATGTAAACCAGGGTACAGTCCATACACGGTCCCGATATAGAGCAGCTCGTGAGCTCGGTTCTGCAGGTTTCTGTTCCTACATATATCGATCAGGCAGTTGCAGAAAGGTCTTCGGGATTCCGGAGAGGTATTGCTGAGAATCACTCTGATCTCTTCTTTCACAGCCTCGAAGCTTGTGCTCTCTTCACCCAGCATCCTCACAATGGCAACCAATCTCGGGTTCGCTCTCTCTAGACAACCAACAACCTTCTCGGCATCCTTGCCTTCGCAATACGACACAACGGATAGCAGACACCCACAGAGCCTGTCGTCGGGTTTGATCCCTCTCTCCATCGAGGCTTCAAACACCGTAACTAAATCATCAATTCTATTTCCTTTACCCAAGCATTGGATCAAACAAGTGCACCCCATCACATTAAGCTCAACCCCTTCCTCCGACATTTCCTTGTACAAACTCACAGCCTTCTCCACACCTCCCCCACTCGCATATATATTTATCATGGCCGTATAGCTCCAACTATCCGGTTTACAACTCCTCGACTCCTTCATATCACCAAACAACCTCTCGGCCTCCTCCTCCAACCCGATATCAGCACACATACTCAACAATGTATTATACAAATAGAAGTCCATAGGCCACCCCTTCGATTTCATTCTCTCCCAAAGCTCCAACGCATCTCTAGCCCACCTCGCCTTCCCATAAATCTTGATCAAGCACGTTAGCGTCTTCTCATTCGGAGTAAGCCCATACTCCAACATCTCCTCGAACAAACTCCTAGCCAAGCCGGGCTTCCCGGCCTTCCCCAAAGCTTCGAACAACGTATTGTACACAACCAAATTTGGCTGAACACCAAGATTCTTCATTTCCTGCAACACAAACCTAATGCCATCGTAATCAGCTACCGAGCCAAACATTCTAGCCAGCATAGAGAAAGCCACAGCGTCGGGGGTCCAACCGCTAGCCCTCCCTCTCTCGTACAACGATATCGCATCCTCGACTTTCCCCAACTGAGCATACACATCAAGAACAGCAGAGTAAGTCACCTCATCAGGGATCAACCCAGTCTTGTACATTCTCTCAAACCACTCCAAAGCTTTATCGAAAAGCCCACACCTTTTTGCACAGGTGATGATAGTGGAATAGGTTATATTATCAAGCTCAACCCCATTCTCCACCATCTCAAAAGCAAGCCTCTCTATATGCTCAAACTGCCTCCCATACCTCAAAGACTTCATGGCAACATTATAGAATATAGTCTCCAGTGGGAACAAATCCTTGGCCCTGATCCAATTCAAGAAAAGCAGAGATTTTTGCCAATCCCTCAGGCCATTGAGCACCAACAAAGCATTCTCTTTAGTGGGTGACTCTGGGATTTCCTCAAGAACAGCCATGAAACCTTCCTCATCAAAATAACCCTCATTCAATCTCCTAGCAAACCGCTTCAGGTCCCTAATCTGAGGGTTGTAGGAGTAAGAAGAACGCTTCTGGCGCTGCAGGGAGAGAACAGAAGGTCTGGGTCGGGCCGGGTTGACCCAAGTGGACTGCGGTTTGGATAAGAGCGGGGTCTGGCTTGGCTGGTCAGCAAGAACGGTTGTGGATAAAGGCTTGAGCTGTTCAGACAAAGAAGGGCCATTTCCGTTTCGACGATTCTCAGGCTTTTCTGCTGTTCTTGGAGGGGATTTTGATGAATTATTGCAATAAATGTTCAGCCTTTTTCTGGGTAATGTTAACGATGGAGAATTGAAGATATATGAGTGCTTTGTTTCTGAGGAACATGGATAGCTGAAATGGATATCAAGAGCTGTGGAGAGCTTTGCAGCCATGGAGAATGGAGAAAAAGAGAGCTTGAGAGTTTAGCTCATGGCAATGGCCATCCGTGAAGTTTTGTAGATATTTTGGGACCTTATCTTCATATCAATACATTGTTTCACACAAACCCTAAACCCCAAAAAATCCAAATTTTTAGGGGGCAAATGTTAAAAGTTTGAAAGTAAAAGGGGGAAAACTACATAAAAAGTAAAATTTTAAAAAGAGTTAATAACCAAAATGGTCCCTCGACCATGTTGTAATTACCAATTTAGTCCTCAACTACTATTTTTATCCAATTAGGTCCTCAACTATGTAATTTTTACCTAATTTAGTCATCCGTTAACTTATCTGTTAGTTGATGGTTAAAATTAAGAGCAAAAATGTAATTTCAGAAGCTTTCTCCATCTCCCATCTAAATGTAATTGCATAAGCTCTTGAACTTCTCCTTCAACACCGTTCCTCCTCCTTTTAGTTTTAGGCTGGAAACAATCACTGCCCAGGTCTTCCAAGCCCTCGAAGAAGTCGTCGTCGAGGCCCAAGCTATCGATTGCCATGTTGGACACGCCGAATTCGTCGTCATCGTCCTCAAACATATCCTCTCTCTCGTCCCTGCTACTTTCTTGTTTTTCCGGTGCCGGAGAAGTCAGCGGCGGCGAGGCGCCGGACTTCATGGTATCCCCGGAGGCCGTTTCCAGTTGGTGGGCCGCCAGCTTTTGGTGAGTGCTGCCTGCGAGCAAGTTTTGGTGGGTAGGCATAGGGTGGTTGTACTATGCTGTGTAGGATTACCAAATCTGACTCTAGAGATGCGTTTGGGGTGAGGATGAACACTGGTTCTAGTAAAAAAAACAAGAAAGAAGAAGAAAAAGAAAGCTCAGGGGGAAAAGAAGAGAGCCGGTGGTGGTGGGAATTAGCTTGCCTTCGTCTCTCTTGTTCCAGTGATGTGCTTCACCGGATTTTTCCGTTAGTTTGCTCAGTTATTTTTTTGTGTTTTAAATTTTTTGTCCTCTAGTCTCCAGGTTGTTTCTTCGGGTGAATGATTGTCCCCAGGTGGTTTCTGGTGATGTGTTCCTTAGTCCCCAGGTTGTTTCTTCGGGTCAATGATTGTCGCAGCGGGAGAAATGTGTGGTTTGAGGATTTGGTGCGAGGGAGACAGATCTGGTAATCCTCCGAGAACATAGAGGGAGACAAGTCTTGCCTTGGCTGAAAGCTGCTACGCAGAGGAGCAGCGGCGACGGTGGCGGTAGCGGTGGCTGCGGACGAGGAGGCAGCAGCGACGGCTGAGCAGCCTCTAACCACCTTCCACTCTTTTGCACAGTTAGATGAGAGATGGAGAAATCTTATGAAATTACATTTTTGTCCTTAATTTTAACCATCAACTAACAGATAAGTTAACGGAGGACTAAATTAGGTAAAGATTACATAGTTGAGGACCTAATTGGGTAAGAATGATAGTCGATGACTAAATTGGTAATAACGGCATAGTCGAAGGACCATTTTGGTTATTAACTCTTTTAAAAAATTCAAATATTGTTTTTCTTTAAATTAAGATTAGTTTTTTTTTTTAATGTTACTGGCCCTATTACATAGAAACACAAAGAACCAGAGGCTTGAACTCATAACCTTTCAAATGGAAGTCCAACCCGGGTACCATTAGACCACATAGATAGTTTTCATATTACAACATTACGTATAACGTTATCATGCAATATTTATAAAAAATGCTCTTGTTTTAACGTTCTTCTGAGGATCAATATCTCCGGAAGCGTAGTACGAAGAAATCTAAACATGGTGACGAGAATCCAATGTCCTTAGCAATGGATGTCGTCGAGGAGGCTGAGGAGGCAAGGTCAGACGGCTTTGCTAAGGAGACCTTGATGGATACGGTGGAGGTGGCAAATCCGATGGGATTGGTGTGGACCATGGTCTACACAATTGTATTTTATGAGTTAAAATAATGTATTTTATGTGTTTTGGACCGTGGTCCACACAGCTTCGCAATAATAATTGCCGCCACCCTCCAAAAGAAAATATATCAACTCTATTATATGAGTATTTTGCCTAAGTAATTTAGAATTGTACACATGAAACTGCAAAATCCATTCTGGAAATTTGACTAATTTATTTCTGTTAACATTCACATTAATTGGGCCAGGCTTAAATAAGCAAAAAGGATAGGTAAAGCTATTGGGCAAAGGTATGGCCCAAAATAACCTAAATGGGCTGTTTCAGCAATACGGCCCAAATATGCGAAGATACAATATATTCCTTTTTTTTTTTTAAACGATACAATATATTCTAGGAATAAGGTTCAAATTGACTATTGAATGTAACCTGAAAATGCAATTAGGTCATTGAACGAAAAAAGTGCAATTAGGCCACTGAACACTCCAAAAATGTGCAATTTCACCTGATAGCAGGTTACCCTCAATTTTAGCAGGTTATCTGCTTACGTGGCAGCTGAGTTGGCATTTTTAATAAATTTTAATTAATTTTTAATAAATTTTAATAATAACTTTTTATTAAAATTTTTTTTTTAAAAATAAAAACGATTTTATTTTATTTTTTATTTAATTTTTTCCAATTTTTTATAAAATTTATTATTAAAATTAATTATTAAAAATTATTTAAAAATTATTAAAAATGCCAACTAAGCTGCCACGTAAGCAGGTAACCTGCTAAAATTGATGGTAACCTACTATCCGGTAAAATTGCATACGTTTGGAGAGTTCAGTGGCCTAATTGCACATTTTTTGAGTGTTCAATGGCCTAATTGCACTTTTTTTTTTTTTTTTTTTTCGTTCAGTGACCTAATTGCATTTTCAAGTTACGTTCAGTGGCCAATTTGAACCTTATTCCTATATTCTAATAAGAACAAAATCCTAAACACGCGCAGATATTGATTTCAACATGACAACGTGAGCAAAAATGTTAGTCAAAATTAAGATAATCATGATTAAGACTTAATAAAAAGGAAAAAAAAAAAGTTAACCAAAGTTATCTCTCCGGGTGTGATTTTCGCACTATTACATAAACGATTGGTCCCTCACATCCTGACCCGACAGAACATTTAGAAGAATGTAAATCATAGTAATTCAATAACTCAACAGATATATCTAAATATCAATACACACAAGAGAAACATTTCTACTTTTTTAAAAATTTAACATATAGATTGGTCATATACTCATATTTTGTCTATTCCAAATATTATAAATTTATAATCCTAATAATAACAAAAATCGAAACATTTCTACTTTTTTAAAAATTCAATGAAGACCTCCTTAAAATTCACAAATCATGTTTGACCCAAAGGTAAAAATATAAAAATTATTTATAAAAAAAAATATATAATTACGCTGCCGACAGCCGGCAGACACACTAAGACCCACTCGACGGATCCATCTGGAGGCTGCAACAAACATTCCGATGAGATTAACATTAATTAATGATTTAATTCCAATACAAAATTAAAGCATAATCACATGTTAATAAGCTGATGTTTTATGAATCTGGAATCTTAATTATTGCTAATTAGAACGTAATCTTGGAAGATTATGTCATAGTGCAGAGACGACAGTTGTGTTTCGCATTCTCTTTTTGTCTCATGCTCTTATGTCTTATCTCTTCCCATTTCCCACTTAATTCACACTCGTACACAAAGGTGGAAAAAATAGGGTTTTTATTTAGGGTTTTTCCGAAATGAGTTTTTAAATAGTACTCCTTCCGTCTCATTTTATGTATTTGATTCGGTTAATGAAATTTGACTGGAGTTATTTTAAATGCAGTTTTTCATAATATTAAGTTTATTAGTATATAATGATATTTATATATTTAGAAACTATATTAAAAGCACTATTGGACATAAAAATTCAGATTCAAAAATAAGTAAAAAAAAGTTACTAAAGAAAATAAACAAAGAAGAAAAAGTTTGTTTGACCAATGAATAGTAAATATGACAGATAAAATGAGACATATACCGTATTATTTTGAAAGTCAGTAGTTTGGGATAGTACATTGACAAACGATCTGCTAATGTAATTGGAAGGTTGAAGGTTCGACGGTTATTTGTGTATATTGAAAGAGTTTTTAGTTAATCATTTCTTGAGTAAGAGTACAAATTTTCAAGCGTAATACAAATTGAATTTAGATCACTCCCACCTTAGTTGTGAATTGCGATAAAGGATGTTGTATGCAAATAATAATAATAATAATAATAATAGTCTTATTATATATCTTGATTTGACTGTATGCGGACAAATCTGAACAATTTTTTTTTTCTTTATTATTTTTTAAAATAATTAAGTGATGAGAAAAACTCGCTATTACTAATTTAGAGTGTGCATGTGTCGCTTATAGTAATAGTCCGCAAACTTTTTTATTTTAATTGATCAATATGTATGATGTTAGTTGAAGATAATGAGAAAGAAAAAGTAGTGTGAAGGTGGACTTCCCAAGATTGCAAAATAGTTCTTATGATTAATAATTTATAATAGACCTAAGACCATATATAGGAGATATGTTGAAATGTAGCCATATTATTTAAGATAAATGTTAATAATAATAATAATTTTTTTGAAAAAAAAAAATGATACTTTTTCCACCATCAATCTAGTGAAATATCTTGATGACGTGGAGAAATATAATATTTCACTTTTTGTATCCTCACACTATTATCATCTATATTATTAATTGTTATATGGATTAGTGGACTCTAATATAATTTAATTAAATGAACACAAATGTTTTCCGTTGACTGAATTTTTCTGTTGCATTCAAACACTGAAAACTCAAAAAATATTTTTCAGATGTCATTTTCTGAGTTTTCAAACGGACCCCTAATTGTAATAGACTCTAGACAATTGTACCTAAATTACTAACAATTTGCCAATCTAAGTATCATACTTCTACGGTATAATTCAACATGTTTACCAAAGATCTATTACGTAGTATATTCTGATCGACTAGTTTGTATACTCTAATCGAATAATGCTATCACGATTGCAAAAATTATACCAGGCCAATAAAATCATCAAGTAACAATGAAAGAAGAAGAAGAAAAAAAAAAAAAACAAAACAAAACAAAACAAAAAAAACTAGCTTGTAGCATTCACAACTATACTTTTATGTGAAAATGC